CCCCAAAACCCCAAAACCCCAAAACCCCATATAGATTGCATCATGAAATTTTTTTAATTCAATAATTGTAATAAAAATAGAGAGAGGATGAGTAATCTCATATGATAAAAATTATCATTTTTTTGAATCGCTATATTCGAGAATCTAAAAGTCTAACTTACTAGCAGCGAAAGCGTTTGCTGCCCCAATCAGTGACATATTGTTGCTGTTTGAGCCAATGGACGAGTTCAAAATCATCATACTTTTTTTGTTTGGACTCTTGACTATCCTCTACTTCATAACTGAGAACTGCTATTGCTTTGACTTTTCATTTAGCTGACTGGTTGATTGCTTATTCTACGATTAGGGATTGCTATTGTTTACAATAGAACTATTGTTAAAGAGCTAAGATTCATTTCTTTTGGTACTGGAATTTCCTGATTAATTGAAACCCCCTGATAGATGATAGCTTTAAGATAATACAGCAGTTGGTGATTGATATTTCTTTACAAGCTAAGGCTAGATACCGAAATTCAACTTCAATGCTTGCTAGTTGGACAGCTGTCTTTAGCGTTTTTAGTCTTTGGTTTGAGGAGAATTGCTTGTTTCATTTGTTTAAATCTCTAGTTTACTATGATGGATAATTGAAGGCTCTTTCAAAACCCCACTGCCAGATATAGATTACTGCTATCTTGGATTGTATAAATGAGCCATGCTCCCTTAGCTCTAGGTTGTGATATCAAAGGTCTTGCAGGATTTATCTACACTTTGATACTACTGGTTTCCATCATTCTAGAACTTGGAGGTTATGCTCATGTTCTGGCCTCTGTTCACAACAGAGTAGACTGATGTGTTATGCTCTGATCTCTCCTCATAAAATTTATTTATATCAGACATGGTCTTTCCATTATTATACGGAAATCCAACATTCTTTAAACTCTTACTTGGGGAGGCTGGTCCCAATATTTGCTAGGTCCTTTTATTTGACGGTTTATTCTTATTTAGCATCAGCTATTGATGCTTATTGCCTATCTCGTAGATAGTTTCAATTTCAGATTTGCTTCTTTGTCTATTTAGTTAATGGAGAGGTTATTGGAATTCATCATGGACAGACTGACTACTTTAAAGTGTTTATTCCTACAGCTTTTTATTGATGACATTCTATTTAATAGATGCTAGAAGCTTTTAAGTAACCATTGAATTAGCTCCATCAAAGAGTAGTGAACTTTAAGTATCCATTTTACTATCAGATCTTTGCTTTCTAAGCTTAGCTGCATTAAGTGATTGCTTTAACTCACTTGACCCCATTGTCATATTTTGCTTGTTCTGTTTGAATGAGTCAATAGTTGTACTGTTGTTCATCATAGATTGCTTAAAATCACTATATTTCTTGTTTTTGCTTGCTGTAGCTCCCTAGATTGATGGATTAGTCGCTCTCTTATTCTGATTATTTTTGTTATGGCATTTATTATGATTATGAGATATTACTACAAACTTACTACTACTTATATCGCTATCTGAAAGATGCTGATTTATACCATTATTTCTTGTAGTTTTTTCATTAAATAAGGAGTTTCTTTCTTTTACCTTATAGCCAGGCCCAGGCGATAAATTCGTTCTCATAGTGATAGAGCACTAAGGAGAATGATGTGTTATTTTTTGAATTGAGGCGTTATAAGGTAAAAGCTAAGTGCTAATAGCAATAACTTGTCTATTAAAGTCCTCATTACTATGGCTTTTCCCGTTGTTTTAAAACCGCTTAGAATTTGAATTGGTTACTGGGTTGAATATGTTACTTGGATTTGAATTGTGGTTACTATTATTAGAGAGAATCGAAAAATGCCCACTATTCATATTGAAGATATTACTTTATACAGTTGATGGCTATTTATTATGCAGACCCATGTTGATTGAACTAACTGAATTGTACTAACTCTGAAATAAATTGTTGTTACCATTATTATTGTTAAAATTAGATTTTTGTTTTTAACTATTCTTATATTGGTGGAAAGATGTAGTCTGTATCTGTGGAGTTGGCGATAGATTGTTACTGGATGAAACATAATTAGAGAATTTAGTTAGGGATTACTTCTTCTCGTGAATGGTAGACTGAATATTAGTTGATACTTGAGTTTGATTATTCTATGAAAGTAGAGTTTATATTGAGGATGTTAGCTGTTTATCTTAGTTCCTAATGTTAGATTGCTTAGTGTTGCTCTTTTTTCTGTTCATGCTAGCTTGATTTATATTTAAAGTAGAGTTTTAATTAGAGCTAGACTTTGCATTTTGCTTGCCTTGTGAAGTTTGATTATATTTGTTTTATCTTCTTTGCAGTAATTATTAGTTTTATTGATGAAAAAATAACTTGTTTGTTATGCCATCCAATTCCTTCTTATTCAGAATGAATTGTTAATTGATTTGTGATAGATCCTAACTGTTATCCACAAAACTAAGGTACTCATTTTTATAAGGTTATTTACCTGCTGAGACTCTTCTAGAACTGATACTTGCTAGGTCTTCATCAAAAGTTGTATTAGACATTACAAATATATCAGAATCACATTGCCTGTTTGTAATGGGAAGATATATTCCCTAGGTGTATTGATCTTAATCTATTTCTTGCAACTCATCCTCATTATAGTTAATATTTAGATTGAAGTTCTTAGCTTCAACTCCTTTATTTTCTTAATCTAGAGTAATAGGTATATGAAAGTGGGTATTAGAGTCACCTCTCATTGATTCCTCTCTTGATTCCTCTATCAATTCTTCAAGAATCTTTAGATTCCCTCTTGTTTATTGCTGCAATGACCTATTTTCTTTCTTTTTCTCGTTATCACTACCATCATCATTATCTGATAAAACTTTAGGAGTAAGGTTGTTAAAATCTTCCTCTTAATCGTACTATTCAGAAGCCTTGATTAATAAATTACTGTTTCTCTTACCCTACTAAAACATAAATTTAGTCCCACTTTTACTGTTTAAGAATGTGTTTTTGAATTTTTCAGCTTCATCACCTCCTTCATCATCAGAACTTGAGCTAGAGCCACCCTAGAGTATATTCTCTTATTCATTTGCATCCATGCCACCTCCCATTATAACTGAAATTCCTCTTTGATTATTCAAGCCAAGCATTGTTCCACTTGTTTATAGCTTGAAGTTTGCGTTTGCGAAATCTATTAACGACTAATTCACAATAGAATTTTAATGAACGAGGCCAGCTGATGATTTCCGTTTCATTAAATACAGCTCCATATCCTTTCTTTGAATCTCAAACCATGAAAAAGCCTCTTCAATCTGCTCTTAATCATAGTAGAAGTAAGTGTTAGGGTCAAATTTACCTTCCCGTATCTGCTTTATTTGCTGCTTCATAAGTTTGTCTAGTTTATACTGATCTCCCCAGTCCAGATCAGCCAGCTTGATCGGATTTATTTCATTTTAAAACCGATTTTCTTCCGTTATGCATAAACTATCCTCATTGAAGAAATCCTTCGAATTATTATTGTTAATGTTTCCAGATCTGTAATTCCCACCATTAATATTCTGAGATGAGCCGTTGTTCACCACTGGATAATTATAAAGGGACATTTTATCAGGAGGACTTCCAAATTAAAACCTTTTTTTAAAAGCAAGTTATGTCAGTTTACTAAATTTCAATAGCCCGTCAGAATTACTTTCCTCCTCTTTAACTTTGTTTTCTGATATATTATGACTCTGAGGATTCAACTGCTTTATTTAATTACTTGCAGTTGGCTGTTCTTCTTAAGGAGCATTGTTATTGAAGGTAGCCGAGGTACTTTGGAAATCAATCCATTGGACGATCTTATCTCTCACCTTAGATTGCACTTTTTTCAAAGTATATAAATTGTCTATGTTTTCATGCTAAGATTCACTATGATTTTTCATCGTTTTATGAGCAGTTGTCATGAAGCATTAAGTTGATTGATGGTGAGGAGATAATAAGTGATTAAAGCCTAAAGATAGCTTATTTGTTGGTTTGTGCACCCCAAATTCAAATTATAAACTTTATTGAAGCAAATTTGATTGATGAAAAAGCCCTCCGTTTTTTTAATCAACTTCATATTCTTTAGCGGAAGTTTAGGATCTTACTCTTTTCATTTTCCCAACCTGATTTGAATCAAACGTATTAGATTTCAAATTATTTGTAAGTCTCTTCCCCTTGGAATCCATTTGCAAAGGCCTATCTTCCTCAATCTAATACTTAGGTCTGCTTTTTGTGCTATTCTTATTAGTGCTGAACCCTTCGTGCTTGATCATGTTATGAGTGCTTGAGGTGTCTAGCTCAAATTTCCTAATTTTATCGTTAATCTCTATCAAGTTGCTGCTTTTGTTTAATAAGACTTTAAATTTGCTATTGCTGCTGTTGTTGTTTTCAGGAGATTGCCCTATTTCTTAGGCTATGTAAGTCGATGCAGCTCCAGTCACAATCTTAGAATTGCTGAACTCCTAGTTTGGCTTCTTTGGACCAGTATCTACAGTAAAGGAGTTAATAAAAAAACAAGGGCAATATAATATTATAGTATTTACAATTCTCTATCTCATCATCATCTTCTATATTTTCGCTCATACTACTGCTAGTTTTAGATGAAAACTAGGGGATGCCCTTTGGCTTTTAATTTTTCAGCACTGCCTATCTTGTTGATTTTTTAGTTACTTTACTCAAATCCATCTGAATTCTTTAGCTATCATTAAAGACAGTAGAATTTTGTATTGAAATATTTTGCGATTGAGTTTGCATTTATAATACATTTGCTTTCCCCTTCATATTAAAATGTTTATTTATTTTCAACTAATTTATCAAATTTGAAAGACTCTTTCCCATTGGGGTTTTGGGGTTTTGGGGAGATCGGAAGAGTACACGTCTGAACTCCAGTCACTA